TTTTTTTTTTTTTGAGTCTCAAGTGCTTTCCGTCTGAGTCTGCAGGTGCTTGCAGATGCCAAGGAATATGCTTATTTGTTATTTGCCTTAGGTGAGCTGAAGATACTCTTGTCTTCATGACAGATCTGTTTTGGCATCTTATCTTCTCAGTATTTAGACTGTGTCTTATCTTGCTTCAGGAATAACTCCAAAATGAGTAGTGTGTGCACAGCCCTGGGGCAAGGGTATTGCAATCAGATCCTGGGAGCTGATCAATAACTGCAGGAAGTCAACAGAAGATATTTGAGCCTTCAAAAATTGTTTGAACAAACCTTGTCTGCTTTCCTGGAGTACCAGTGTAGAGCCATACAGATAGCCAGACAAGAAAGCCTTCTCATCAGTGTTGGTTTCCCAAATCAATTAAAAATAGTATTTTCAACAATTTTCAGTGCATGAGTCACCTGCACTACTGTTAAATTCTTTGTCAGTTCAGTCTTTGTCAGACCAACCAGCCTGGCTTTATGGAGGTTGTCAGTAAGTAGATGAGATTTGCTAATTGTTACTGTGAGTAAGAGAAAACTTGTGCTTTGCACAGCTGTACATAATAGAACTGCAAAACAATGGATTCTTCTGAGACTTTTTGGTGATAAGAATATTTGTATAACAGAATACTATTGTGTGACATAAATAAGGTCGACCACTTATGAGAGTTCAACAACCACATTAACTCTTAATTGAGTTCCAAAGTATAATAGAGAAGGAAAATTTTGAAATTTCATTTCACAGATTGATGGTGTTTGCTTAAGGCTTGTGGCATTTTCATTGTTTTAACTTCTTCCAGCTGGATTAGGAAGGCTACCTGATTAGTTAAGATTTACTACCCAATTTGCCTGAAGAAAGACAGGAAATGGGCTTTTTGGAGACAGTCAGGAGTTAACCAGCAGGTGGAGTGGTTCTCAGGTAGAAAGTGTGGCAGTGGTCAGTTGTAGTGGGAAGCTTTGGCTAGTGTTTTCTTCCTGTTAACTCTCTGGTTGACCAGACTCTAGTAGGTGATGTTATTGAGCATCTTTGTACTGCATATCTACTAGCTTTTATACAACACAGGGAAAAACATCAGCTTATGTTGTAGTTTTCTATAATGTGATGATATTTAATTAAAATTAAAAGCCAGCTAGTTGATTAGAAACTCAACTGTAGCCTTTCTGCAAGGTGTTGAATGGTATCTAGTGATTAATTTGAACCTCAGCTTTGTTGTTTTGAAAAATAGGAACATGGTATATCTTGCCTTGTTGTTACCAGCAGGGTCAACTGCCTCTGTAGCATGACTGTGCATTGAGCATGTGTAGAATGATTTTTATTCTTGATGTAATGTCCTGGCTTCAGGTTAAAGTATGCATTGTAATATTTTAAGTAAAACGTGTGCAAGTAAAAATGAATAATACTAGAGAAGAAATAGTTACTTATTTTTATTCAAGCAGAAGAAGGTAATCTCACTTTTCCTAAGCAGTTAAGTGGCCTGAAAGTAAAAATTAGAATGGAATATAAAGGGTCATTGTAAAATGCTCCAGGCCTTCATTAGTGCATACAGCAGCAGGGTAGAAGGTTTTTTGTTTCTATGTCCTTACATGTTTTTATGTTCAGGTGAGGTGTATTGCTGCTTCCCAGTAGGAGGTTGACTCAAATATTAGCAAAAGCATTGCTTTTCACCTGAAGATAGCTTTAGCATTATTCATTAATACAGAAAGCCAAGTGTACCCACCTTTCTATTGTGTTAATTGAATATATATAGTTCTGTGCCTATCTCAGGGGGTTTTGATATTTCCTAATGCAGGTTTTTCAAATTTCATCATAGTTTAAAAAAAATGTTACTTAATTCCTGTTTGAATTTACTGCATTTGCATTATGTAATATACTGATACCACAGGGTGTGAATTGCATTGTTCATAGTGAAACCAAGAGAAATCATCACTACTTTCCCAACATGATGTTTTGTTGTGGGTTTTTTTTAACCAAACATTTAGTAGTTGCTCAGTTTTTCTAACTAAGCAAAGCTCCCATTTCTATCTGGATTACTAGAAGCTGTAACCCTAGCTGCTTCAGACTTTTATCTTAGTTATTTTGACTGGTTTAGTGCTACTTTGTTTTGTTCTTTTCTAGGAGACTTACGGGTTTGACAAAATAGAAGTAAGAGACAATGGTGATGGCATCAAGGCTGTTGATGTTCCAGTTATGGCAGTTAAACACTACACCTCAAAAATAAGCTCTTCTGAGGACCTTGACAGTTTGACAACGTATGGTTTCCGTGGGGAGGCTTTGTCATCAATTTGCTGCATATCCGAGGTAAGCAGTTGGTATAAATGTATCTAGTCTTTTGTATTGTGTTTGGTTTTTTTTCAGTCTTTCTGAAAATTTTATTGGAATATCGGTGCAAAGACTTTAAATTGTTCCAGCAGCATGCCAGGGTTAGGTTTCCTGAACAGTTTGGCTTGTGTATGCTGCCTTTCCTCCACTTCCCAGAAGTCATGTCAAATGCTTAGGGAGCAGTGTGCATCTCTTGTTTTGTGTCCTGCCTGCCTGTCATACTGGTCACAGCAGTGCTTGATTTCTTTTCCTCATTCAGAATAGGTCCAAGACAGATTGCTTAGTGTTTTATTTTGTATCAGGGCATAGATAGTGATTCCTGAGGACACTGGCTTATCCTCTCTAGTGTTAACAGCAAATAAAATGTCAAAGAGTATGGCTGAGTTGGGTAACTGCATTGGGGTAAACCAAAATGAGAAACAGCAGATGGTGGCCAGGAGAACCCATTTCAGGGAACTGTTGTCTCACATAGCTACTGTTCTAGTAATGATTCCTACCTTGATGTTATCTGGGTGATCAGCAATCGTGGCATCTTGCTGGGCACCATACTGCTCCTTGACAGGTATATAACTGCAATTGCACAAACTTTATTGTCCATATGAGTAAACAGGAACCTGCTCCCTGGCCTGCCTGAGTCTGATCCATATGTTTGTGTTATGGGGACTAACAGTGTACTGATATTTAGGAATAACTTGTTGACTGAAACTAAGTAATTTCGTTCAAAACCAGCTGAAAAGTGTTTGGGCAGATCAGGGTAGAGTATCTGCCTGTTCCATTGTGTTCTGCCTTTCTGTATTCATGCTGTGCAAAGGTCATGTCTTGGATTCTTCTTTCTAAGTCTGCCAAGCATTAGATCCTGCAAGAAGATACTGGTGTCTGTGTCTGATCGGAACCATCAACAGCTGAGGTCAGGAGAAGTGTTACAGCTCTACTCTGTGCTACCTTGGGCTACATTCAAATTGCACTAAGCAGGGTTTGGTTCTGTGTTTGGTTGGAGATTTCCAAAGATACTTTCAAACGTGTTGGTGTTTTGACAGGTAATGACAGACCTCAGTCATTGCTCACTTCTGTGAGTTGTCAGAGCAGGGTGCTATCTGTTCTGAGCTTTTAATCAGCTCCTTGGAGCCTTTCGTAAGAGAGGGGAGGTGGTCTGAGCATAATAAGTACTTTAATAGGTATTACTTTAATCCTTGGATCAGTAATTATGTTAATTAAGCGCTCCTGGCATTAATTGCATTCTACCTACCCAGATTGCCCCCTGAAGTTTCAGTTAAGAGGTACTTTAGTGTTGGCCTTTAAGTAGGTCTCTAATACTGTAATTTCCAATTAATCAGTTACTGTTTTTTTTTTCTCCAGAGGCATGGCTGAACTCTGAATTACTTATACGGGACACTAAAATAAATCAAAATATCCTGAAGCTCTCTTATGTGTGATAAACTTTATGCCTTTCAGGTGGTTGAAAAAGAATGGTTCTGTTTTTCAAAATGTTGATACCTAAACTCAGGGAATTGTAGTTTTATTGAACTTCTGGTGTATTACTGGTCTTGCTAAAGCTGAGCTGTGTATCACCTTAATACCTTACAAAACATGCTACTGCTGATTGCTAGATATGTTTGGGTGTGGAAAGATAATATACTGTTTGTTTGATAATAGTTATTATATTTGTGGAATTTCACATTAATCTGCCTTCTCTCACAGAGGGTGAAAATTATCATTTGATTTAATTGTTTGTGTAACCTTTGTTCAAACAGGCGATATGAGTGTGGTGCTGTAGGCAATCAGGATTGCTGTGCTTGGTGTATTAGTGTGATAGAAGTGCATGGCTTTTTGTTAAACTGATGGGAAATTAGTAATGCAGAATGTTTCTGTAAGAAACACTTGTAGAAGAGAAGTTTTCTAAACTAATTAAAGGTACTTGAGGTGACTAAAATAACACTACGGTAAGAGTGGCAGCAAAGCTTATCTAAGCTCTTCCTGAACTTTGTGAATCCTTGACTAACTTTTTTTTTTTTTCTAAATCACACTTTTCAGGTTTTGATCACAACAAAGACACCTGATGATGATTTCAGCAGTCAGTATGCTTTGGATAGCAATGGGCATATAGTTTCTAAAAAGCCTTCCAGTCTTTGGCAAGGTAGGATATAATTGTTCTTGTGTTGCACTGACAGAAGTATTTTATGTTTCTCTGAGGCTCTATTTGATGTTGAAATACCTGTTCTGTATCTGAAGGCTGAGTTTGAACTCTCTGCAGCTGTAAATGTTTCTTGCCTTATGTCTGTCAACTGAGAATGTGTTGTTATCATAAGAAATAATAAGTCTTGGATGTTGCTCTAAATGGTAATTATAAACTAGTTTCTTCTCTAGCTCACCTCTTCAAGCTGACAGCAGAAATACAGGCTATAAAAATTCAATGCCCCAGGTCCAGGCAGGTTTTCTGTATAAGCATTTGAAAGATTAGTTCAAGACCAAAGTAGGTAGCAAAATCCTGGGTTAAAGCAGGAAGAGTTGCCTGCTGCTATACAAAGGAATTGCTGGAAGCCACATGGCTATAGGGTGAGGCAGTCACAGTTTGTTCTAACCTGCAGGATGGGTGTGTCCCCGTTGTATTGTGTTTGTGTGGAAAATTAAAGGTTGCCCTCACCTCAGAGTTGAGCCATGGTGGTTCAGAGATAGTGTAGGTTTGGGGTAGCATCTACTCTGTGCTCTGGTCAGCTAATTGCAGCTCAGTGAAGACCACGTTCTGTCATTCACACTCCCAACTGGTGCACATTCTCAGAAGAAAAGTGATGTGCTCGTTTCTTGTGATGAGGGTTTGCTTCTGAGGAAGCAGTTGCAGCTTTTCCATAAAATCCAACTTTTCCTAGTTGAGCTGCGGCAGCTGCTTGTCGATATGGTGCCCACAAGCTGCCCCAAGCTGGCTGCAGCTCTTGTGTCCAAGGGGAGCTGCTATTACCTGGCTCCCTTCCTCCTCAGCACTAACTGGGTGTGGGGAGCCATTAAGCCAGAAGCTGCCAGGGGCTTGTCATGGGCAAATGGTGACGAAAGGGTTGAAGCTGAGAACTCTTAACTAATTTTAATCGGGGATTCTTTTTAAGATTTAGCCTGTAGTGTTTTCCATGAGGCTGGAAAGCCTGTGGGTTGTGTTTCCTTGTCTTTTATCAAAATTGTTGAATGATTGACTGAATTCTGTGACATATATTTTATACTTTGCAATATCCTTATGGGCGAGGAATTTATGTGATTGTGTTGGTAGATGAATATTCCTCCTCTTACTCTATACTGTGTCTTGAACAGAGGTGTCTAGTTCTTCAGGTATTAACCTAAAGTAAATGCTTGTGGAGGGCCCTACAGAGCTCAGTGTTCCTGTCTCCAGATATGTCTAATTAGATGCTAGTCTGTTAACCATTTTATTAATAGAAGTTAATTTAATACACTCTGAAAGAGTCTTCAGTTTTATTCAGTGCTAATTCTTGCTATTGTCAGTGTGTACAAAAGAAAACTTAATGCTGCAATCATTAAATAAAAAAGGGGAATCGTGGCTCTTGTGCACTAGAGGTACTTTTTTGGGGAAGTTGACTGCTAATTTTGTCAATTTCTTCTCATGCTAATATAATCTAATTAAGAGTTACTAGGGTTAATTTGTGTACAGCTGCAAACAGACAGGGCTCTTGAAGTAACAATGAAGTTTTCTCTATCCCATCAGTTGTATGCTTTCAGTGTAATTTCTACTTGTTTTTTGTCACCTGTTTGCAGGTACTACAGTAACAGTCTTGAATTTGTTTAAGAATCTTCCTGTAAGAAAGCAGTGTTACTCAGCAAATAAAAAATGTAAGGAAGAACTGAAAAAAATCCAAGATCTTGTGATAGCCTATGGTATCATAAAACCAGAGCTGAGGATAACCTTATCACATAATAAGGTAATAATGACTTTTTCTGTCAGCTATCTTAAAGATCAGTTTCTCATTGATTTATGCTGTTCATCTTATATTTACATAAAATCATTAATTCCTAGGAATTTTCTTTCACCTTAGAGTTGTTTTGAACTTTGACTTCTTCACTTCATATATGTGTATTTATAATGGTTATGGATTTTGATACTAAATTTCTACAACTCTGGCTCAGATCTGCTTCTTGGTCTGTTCCAACAGATGCCTGGTTAGATACATGAAGTATAAAAATTATTTTACATGCTAGTGGTATAAGAATAATTTTGCATGCCAGTGGTTAGTAAAGATGGTGGTGGTGGTGGTCTGCAGTGCAAAACAGCAAGACCTTAATAGGCCACAGGGCCTAACCAAGTGTTAACCTAAAACAACTGAAAAAAACTCTCAGAACTCATTTGGTTATGCTGTCTCTCTGGGTAGACTCTCCAGCACATCCAGGTAACTTGCTGTGTTCTGAGTCACAACAGCTCAATACATCATGGTGGTTCTATTTAAAAAGGCAAAGCAATTTGCTACATTAGTGTAAGCAATGGTAACGTGACAAATGGGCGTTAGTTGAGCTAGTTGTGCTTTGTTTAGACTTGGAACAGATTCAGAGGCTGCTTGGAGGGTACTTTGACTTCACAGCTTTCTGAGCAATAATTTTACAGCACAGCTACAGAAATGACTCATTGAGCAGTCCTCCTTTACCTGGCCCCAGTTTAACATGGCTGATTTTATTGACTGTACTATTTTTAGCACCTCTGAGAGGAAAGGTAGGCTAAAAAGTTGCCACAAAGTAGAGAGTGACATCTGGTGGCCAGATCCCTCAGCAATTATTTTTCTGTTAAAAAATACATTTGTTTGTTGATCTTGCTCTTCGGCCTGTTCCTTGGACAGTTTTGAACAGTTACTCTATCAAGCAAACATTCAGACTGAAGTTCTGTTTTGGGGGGAATGGCAAATGACATTGTGCTTTCTGAGAAGACAACAGATTGCCCATCCCAGTTGTATAGCGTGCTCTGATTATATTTATTCATGTATTCTAAATATCAAAGTGTAGATCTTGTGTAAAACAAAAGCCTGCCTTGTGGCTAAGGAGCAAGTATTCCAAAGCTCAGTAAGCATAACTACTTTTAAGTCTTATTTCATTGACACTACAGAAAGTTTGAAACCAGAGATCTCTCCTTAGTTTGTATGTATGAAGGTTCCTGGCAAATCTAACAGTGCTTTCACATTCTTGGTCTTAAATATTGATTAATAAAACTACTTTCATCTTCTATTGGTGGTTTGGTTTTTGACCTTTCTGATAGGTGTGGTATAATTTTTCTGTGGTTAAGCAGGAGGTTTTATTTATCTTTATTGACCAATGCAAGTACTGTTTGTTGCCTGTAGTTTCTGTGGATATTTTTTTCCCCTCTGTGGCAACTGTAGCTTGTTATCATCTATTACAGGTCTTAAGTTTGATCTACTGCATTGGGAAACATGTTATTTATTGTGGAAGATGGTTGCTCAGTTGACCTTTCTGAAGTAGACATCTATTGCATGGATGCTTACAGAGTTTGCATGAGCTTTTCTAGTCTGGAAAGTCATGTTGATGCCTCTGGGTGCTGGCAGTGGGGCATTGGAATGTGACTTCTCAATAAGACAGCTGTGATTTGGAGGGAAAGTGGAATGAGGAGGAGGGGAATGACAATTTCACTGCTGCTGGCAAATTGCAGATTTTTTTTATTTTATGGTATTTTTATTTCATCCTCTTTGATGAGACTATCTTTTTTCTTTGTATGTTTATTTTAATACAATGGTAATAATGTGCAAGACATTGATCACGTCTTTTTCACAATACTTATTGCAAAAATGATATGGAGAGTAGCATGACAACAACCATTGCACATTGGTTTTGACTACCTGTCATGTTAGCTTCAGAGGTAAATTCCTCAGTAAACAGTTTGAGTGGGTGAAACACATCAGTAAAAAAGAAATGCTGTCTGCAGGCAGTATATATTCGTTTTAATGACAGGGATGGCCTCCACATTTTGTAGTGCTGGCCTTATGTTCATTTAATTATTTTAGAGAAAAAGAAAAAAAGAAAGGAACTGCTCAGACGTGTTTCAGCACAAGAGGTCGCTCAGTAGCTGTTGCTGAGTTGGGAAAATCAAAGGCTAAATAAATGGTACCGTAAGTGTAGTTTTCCTGTGCATATGTGAATGCTTTTAAATAGTGTAAAAAAGTTGAAAAAGAACTTGGAGTGCAGAATCCTGTGTTTCTACTGCTGTTGTCATTGCAGGGAAAATAAGAATAACCCATTGCATCATACCTTTTAATAAATTCTGAAATTCCAATGCTTAACACCTTTCAACGGGTCTATGTGTGTCTGCTTTACCGTAATACCACAAAACACGAATATTCATTAGTTATTTTCCCTTCAGAGGCTAAGTATTATTGTAATTAAAATTATTCATTCAGATCAGAAGGTGTTTTTCCTATAGTGATACTGCAGTATCTATCTGTGTTAGAATAATACTCTACTCAATAAGGTTGTCTGATTTTTTTT